ATGTATTTGCTCCCTATCTTTGCATGGAGAGTTTGTCTTCATGTAGACGTGGACTCTCAGGGTAGGGTGGGATATCCCCTCCATTTTGGCCTCAACTTGAGAGCTTTTTTTGAGCATGGGAGATGATTTCAGAGAAAACCAGTGGCACCATCGTGTTCCTCGCGAACTTTAATACAAGAATCAACAGTCAAATTGGAAATTCCTCGCACATGTAACATCTCCATTGGGCCAAAATGCACCGATATCAATACTTAATATGTTACTTGGTTCCTCGAAAATTCTCCTCTTGGACTTAGCCTAAAAGTGTGGACACTTTTTAGCCTCCGGCGAAACCTAGAGTCTATACGGCTTCGCCGCACGACTAAAAAGGAAAATGAGAAGAGGAACGATACAAACAAGAAGACAGAGAAGAGGAGAAAGGAAAAGAAGAAAGATTTCCTTTCAATGCTTTGTAGATTCTACTTTCCCTTGGGGCTGTTCTATCGGTTGTCAGTAAGCTACTGAAATAGTTCCGTCAAGAAAAAGTCACGAAAAAGAGCGCTCTTACCGATAGCGAGCTGAGTTTTCAGAGCTGACAAAAGTAAGCTGTTGCCATTTGTACATCTATTTTACGCACTGCTGCGTCAGGCAATCTGACAAACCGACCTACAGGGCAACAATGCATTTAGTGCAAGTTCTCAAAACTCCGATTAGGCGAGCTGTTAATGATGTCATTGCAAGTGTCGGTACTGCCACCAGTTTTGGTAAGAGACGATACCGTTCAATAGCGATGGAATCGATTACCAAATAGCCAATACCAATAATCAACTACCAAATAGCGTTCCGGCAAGAATTCGTTTCAACACCCCTACTTTTCCTCTTTTTCAAATTCTTCTCATCAACCCTCTTTCCTTCTCTACTCTTTCCCTCCCCCTTTATTTTAATCTCCTTCTGTTGCCTCTCCCTCTCTTCGTTCTTTTCATCCTTCAAATTGTCCTGAGTGGCATATGTTAGGAACCTGAGCTCTTGCACTTAATTTTCACACTCTTATTTTTTCACATTCAACACCGATATGACTGGTTTGCTTAACCCATTCCATCATGATTTGGTATGGTGCATGCACGCCTAGAATTACAATGGGTCATTGTGCACCAACACGACTAGGTTCATAGGCCAAAACCCCTCCAATTTGGTTCAAAATCGGTAATTTTTAGCATAGTCTTTGGATTAGATAAAAAGTGTGGTATATTCTTTATAATATTGAGATTCCACTCGGCTAGTAGATGCCACTTGTACGGTTTGGTTTGATACTGTAACAGATCAGACAATTTAAAATTCAAACTTCCCGCCGGTTAGACTTCGGCCACTCGTCTCTCACCAGAGCAACGCTCCAGGTGGAGAAGGGTGGGCGGCACCTGATTGGTAGGAGTTTTCAGTCTTAGCTTCTTCCCTAGACCAGAGGGCGTTGCGGTTCTTAAACCAGTAAAATGTGAGTATTTTGAAGTTTTCACCCTTTCGGGAAGTGAAGTTTTATTTACGATGGTGACAGAGTGTGCTAAGGGGGCCGGCAGGCCACTCGAATCCAATTCAAAACAGTGGTGTTCTGTTTTTTCCCTGTCAAATCCTCTCTGGTCGAACCTCGGAGGCTTGATCCTGATGGCCCTCCAAGGCTCACTCGGATTGCGACTTGGTGATTAGTACTTATGTTCCTTTTGATAGTGTTGTACAGACCCCGAGCTATTACAATACATTACCTTTGGAGTTGGACTGTGCCATGAAGAGTGATAGAAATCATTGGGACTGGAGGCTGGATAAAAATTGCTATTCATAGGGCTTCTTAAATTCTGGGTTGATTTAACTAAAGGTGGAGAGCTGAGAAGCCTAGCAGAAGGTAGGTCAACTTTTTCAATTAAGGGGTAAGAACTATGATGATCTTCCTCATAACCTTCATGGTGCTCATCTGTAAATCAAACACATTAAAGAAAATTAAAGATAAGCTCAGGATATACAATTAGTTTGAAATTTGATTTAAAAGAATTGATACAACTAACTCACTTTTTGGAGGGATTTCTTGCACTAGATGTTACTGTTCCGTACAACCCTTCAAAAAGGTACCTTGTACAACACTGCCACTCCTGAATATACAAAATTGTAAGAGGGGTTTAAGGGGGAAAGGTTGTGCTCTCAACACATGTCTCTTGCTAGGAGACCAGCTTATTAAAGCGCACAATGTTGAGCTTGGTTTAATGGTGATTCAGCTCTGAAGAATCTGGGCTACATACAGAGTGTACCAAAAGTCCGTCCCACCTCTGCTAACTTTTGAACGAATTGAGCTAGGGTAATGAAACTTTGGGAATGTTCCTATCTCAAAGGGGACCATCTTTTGGGGGGGGGGGGTCAAAATTTTGGTCCCCCCTCAGGGGGGAGGCGAGAGGGGCCCCCAACTTTTTTTTTTTCAAATGGCAACCCCTATCTTGTGATACCTCATTTGAAAGAGCATTAAAAACTAAGAATTTTGGCGCAAACCGCAGATCAATATCTTTATTTTTGACCGAGTTATGATAGGTCAAAGGTCAAATTTGACCTATTTTAAAAAATCATAACTCCGGTTCAAATTATCGTAAAAAAAAAAAATAAAACGGGAAAATTTACCAAATTATGTCCGCTTTTAAGTAAAAATTGCAGAAATCACTTCAATTTAATTTTAAGGGAGGGCTCGGACCCCCAAATACGTCAATTCAAAGGTCATTCAATTTTCCCGCGAAATAAGCCAATTTACCCTAGATTTGCCTCCACTAGTCCAGTCAATCTAGCATTTTTCTGGGAAAATCTATATATAGAAGGTTTTTTTGCGGAAACATGTTGCATTAAGCTACCACAGCAACACATCAAAAGTTTACCAAAATCGGCCGTCCGCTAAGGCCGCCATCTTGAAAAAAGGGGGGGCGGGGGGCCAAAATACGCCGCCGGCGACCGGTTTTTAGCTTATATCTTGAAGAATATCGATCCTACGGAAACATGTCATCGAACCTTTTAAAAAGATCATAAAATTTCCTGTTAGAAACACTATACATTTATCAAGTTGCAACTTCTGGTTCGTGAGATATGGCGGTAGTTTCCTGCGGCTAGGAAAGTCAAATCATGCGAGAAATCACGTTTTTTCAACAAAATCTGTAATTATCTTAAAAACGGCGAGTCTGAGGCAAAATAGTGTGCTCCCCGGAATGAAAGAGCATGAAATTTCCATGCTAAAAATGCTTATGAATTCACTAGGGGGCCGCCCCCGGAGCGCTATGCGGTCAGAACCAACGGCGGCTACTACGCGGTGAGGCTCGGCTTGGCCGCGCCATGAATTGTTGCGGTCCAAGATGAAACGGCTTCACTTTTTTGGTAAATTTACCGCGAGAGTAAGTCATATTATCCATTTAAATATGTGCTAATTTCCTTTCATCATGAACCCCCCCCCCTCCCCCTTCAGGTCATGCATGTTGTATAGTTAATAAATGTCAACGGTCGTGCTTGAAGATAGTGTTATTATTTTATGCTTTCTTATTCAAATTAAATTTGTCAAACAACAAATATTCTTTTTTCAAAGTAACTAATAGGAAATGAATTAATACAAAATATAGAAAGAGGGAGTTTAAATTCATCCTCTGCTTCCTCTTCGATCAGTGTTTCTGCTTGATTGCTGCATTCTTAGCCGGAACGATGTAGGCAAATGTCACTGCATGGTAGACCAGCTCTCTTACAAGAGCAACGGTTACTACAGCCTTTCGAACATGTACATGAGATGATTTGTAAAAGTTCTNTAAAAGTTCTTTGGGGGGGGGGGCAGGCGGGTTGAGCATAGGCACAAGAAGAAGCCTGAGTTCCGAAGATTTCCACCCCCATTCCTTGGGATTCCGTTTTCTTCCTCTCCAGAGTTGAACTTGATAATATACACGTAGGAAGTGTTGTTTGCACGCATCTGAAGTTGAAGGCAACGTTTGCAGTTTCACCTCAGTTTTTGCCTTGCCAAAGCACGATTAAAACATTGAAATCTGCATTTGTTCAAAGCAGTAACTGATTTTTCAGCATCATACAGCAAAAGAACGAGTTGCTCACCCGCTTGACAAAGCTCATCTTGAGTGCAGTCGGTTTCATCAAATTTCTCAGCAATACAAGTGACTTCGCGACATTTTTCCAACAGTTTAATAAATTTGCCTTTGCCCTAGCCACGAAATGCTGAAGTAGTATCACATCCACTGACGACATGGATAAACAGAATGCTCTTCTTCAAATTTACATTCGATGTTCGCAATTGATTTGAGCTAAAAATTTGGGCTGCATATTTGCCCTTACCTGGTTTGAGTAATAGGACGTCGCTTGATGCAGGCGTCAAAGCTATCATTAGAACCAAGGAGGTCAATGTCTTCACCAACGATTAGAGTACCTATATTGAGAGAGTATGGCCACCGGTGTTACCACCTCTGATTGGCTCAGCCATCTTAGGCTGAATGGAGCCCTTAGGACCCAAAAATGGCGGACGCCATAAATTAATGTGATGCAAAATGACTCAAATTGTAGTTTTCTTTGCTTATTGTAACGAGAAATTAACCCAAATGCACTATTGCGATTCTTTACATATTTTTAAGGCTAATCGTGTGCAATTTTTGAGAAAAATTATCTTAGATGTAGTAAGGTTGGCAGCAAGTGCGGTTGGTGAAAACCGTCAAAAGTTGGCAATGACCCCCCTCCTATCCACAAAAACCAAAACAAAGCACCGCCATTTTTGGGTCCTAAAAGTCTCTCCATGGGGCCCAGTGGCCATACTCTCTCAATATAGGTACTCTACCAACGATAACAACTTGTTTCTTCGTTCCTCTCGGCACACTGATAGCTTCATTTACGATGAGAGTATCCGCATCGTCCTCTGCTTGAGATACTTTAACTTGACTCCCTGTAGTAAAGTGTTTCGATAGCAAGCAAATCAAACGCGCCTCATTCTTTTCATTATAGATAGAAGCAAGTCCTGGGCCACGGATAGAGGAGTGTTCTCAAAAAAAATTAAGGCAGGACATTTCTTAAAGCTATAACGTCGTCACCTTTCAACGCTTTTTGTTCGTATCCACCAAAAACAATTGAACCTTCAAGACCATCATGCTTTTCAACATATAGGTATTGATAAACGATTCCACCGCTTAAGGTAATAAACGAAGAAATGCTTGTCTTATTCCTATTTCTATATTTTGTATTAGTTCATTTCCTTTTAGTTACTTTGAAAAAAGAAGATTTGTTGTTTGACAAATTTAATTTGAATAAGAAAGCATAAAATAATAACATTATCTTCAAGCGCGACCGTTGACATTTATTAACTATACAACATGCATGACCTAAAGGGGGAGGGGGGGGGGGTTCATGATGAAAGGAAATTAGCACATATTTAAATGGATAATATGACTTACCCTCGCGGTAAATCTACCAAAAAAGTGAAGCCGCTACATCTTGGACCGCAACAATTCATGGCGCGGCCAAGCCGAGCCTCACCGCGTAGTAGCCGCCGTTGGTTCGGACCGCATAGCGCTCCGGGGGCGGAACCCCTAGTGAATTGATAGGCATTTCTTTCATTCCGGTGAGCACACTTTTTGGCCTCAGACTCGCCGTTTTTAAGATAATTACAGATTTTGTTGAAAAAACGTGATTTCTCGCATGATTTGACTTTCCTAGCCGCAGGAAACTACCGCCATATCTCACGAACCAGAAGTTGCAACTTGATAAATGTATAGTGTTTCTAACAGGAAATTTTATGATCTTTTTAAAAGGTTCGATGACATGTTTCCGTAGGATCGATATTTTTCAAGATATAAGCTAAAAACCGGTCGCCGGCGGCGTATTTTGGCCCCCCGCCCCCCTCTTTTTCAAGATGGCGGCCTTAGCGGACGGCCGATTTTGGTAAACTTTTGATATGTTGCTCTGGTAGCCTAATGCAACATGTTTCCGCAAAAAAACCTTCTATATATAGATTTTCCCAGATGACCCTTATTTAGAGCTAAATTGACTGGACTACACATTATCTCAGTAAGGCCAAAATCAGTTCAACATTACGTTGGCAAGTCCCCTTTCGGGAAAAGTTAAAAAAAAACGAAATTTAAACGGTCAAATTTAATCACCTTAAATTTCGTTTTTTTAACCATTCCCGAAATTTGGGGACTTGCCAACGTAATGTTGAACTGATTTTGACCTTACTGAGATAATGTGGAGGCAAATCTAGGGTAAATTGGCTTATTTCGCGGGAAAATTGAATGACCTTTTAATTGACGTATTTGGGGGTCCGAGCCCTCCCTTAAAATTAAATCGAAGTGATTTCTGCAATTTTTACTTAAAAGCGGAAACAATTTGGTAAATTTTCCCGTTTTATTTTTTTTTTACGATAATTTGAACCGGAGTTATGATTTTTTGAAAATAGGTCAAATTTGACCTTTGACCTATCATAACTCGGTCAAAAATAAAGATATTGATCTGCGGTTTGCGCCAAAATTCTTAGTTTTTAATGCTCTTTCAAATGAGGTATCACAAGATAGGGGTTGCCATTTGAAAAAAAAAAAAAGTTGGGGGCCCCCCGCGCCCCCCCCCCTGAGGGGGGGACCAAAATTTTGACCCCCCAAAAGATGGTCCCCTTTGAGATAGGAACATTCCCAAAGTTTCATTACCCTAGCTCAATTCGTTCAAAAGTTAGCAGGGGTGGGACGGACTTTTGGTACACCCTGTATGAGCAGAGTCATGTCTATTGGGGACCAGATGTAAAGCTTCCAAATCCTGCTGAGTTATTTTGATCAATCTACTTGATTCTATAGATGGGCCGGGTATCCGGCAATTATCTGGATTGCCGGATTAACTGACCGCATCCCGGATAATTGGCTCCGGCCGGATACGATTTTCGCGGGTATCCGTATCGACCGGATGATCGCGATATCCGGTTTTTGGACCCGCCGGATAGCGCTTTTACGGCCGTGAAAATTTCGATAAATTTTTGGTGATATTTTGACATTTTTTAGCGCACTTTTAGTAGTCATCGTAATTGTTTAACTTTTCGAAACTTGTTATCATCGGAATTAAGGATATTTCCCGCACATTTACTTGATTACAACGTCTTAGTTCCAAAAGTCTGTGCGTTTCACATTCAAAGACGAAGATGCATGTGGAAGATAAAAAAAAACAATGCCACCAACATGTGTTAAAGTTCCCTGTTGGTAACGCTTCTAGTCCGAATGTGACTGTGCAATTATTGTAATGTCGCAGTCCGCAGCTTGTTGTTGCAACATCAAAGCGCTGTTTTCCACTTTTGACTTGATTAGGCACACTCCTAATAATATCTCTCTTTCTGCATATCAGATTCATCTGGCCCATTACACCATGAAGCCAATTAAAGCCATGCTGCTTATCTGCCAGGTCTTTTTTTTTGTATTCGTTTTAGCGGGCCCACGCATAGCATAGCATTGAAAAATATGGCGGTTGCCGGTGCGAAGGCACATACATCGTGGATGACGGTCTTGATGGTGTAATACACAGTGGGCTTCTTGTCCCAAGCGCGGCATCGGGAGCTTTTTCTAGTGCGAAATCGGAGGATTTTTCTCGCGCGTGATGGGGAACTTTTTCTTGCACGATATCGGGAGATTTTTCTCACGCGAAAAAGCACTATCCGGATCCTGTATCCGGCTCCGGCCGGATGCATAAAATCGATATTCGCATCCGTATCCGGTGACGCGGAAAATCCATTTCGGCCCATCTCTGTTTCATTCAATACGATTTGTCAAATGTCCTAAAACGAACTCCACTCTCAATAATTGAATCTCAATGTTTTTAAAAGGTCAACAATCCTCTAAAGCTTTGAACCCATTGAGAAATTTGAATGAATTTCATGATGGATAGTTTATAAACTAATCACCGAATACTTACATGTTTTCTCTGCTTTCATTTGTTCTTTCGTACCGACTCGTAGCAGAAAAGGGCTACCTAGAAACACATAGAAATGGAAATTTATGGCATGAAAAAAGAACTTTTATGAAGTATTTAGTGCATAAATATTGCAAGGACTGTTCGAGAAATCATTGCATCCCCTCGTCATTTCCGCACTATTTGTGGACAATTTAATAATGTCCCATTTTCAAAAGGCAAATACTGGACTAGGTTCTAGACCACCCGTACCAGGCTGTTTTCTTGATTATTTTAGGTCGAACTAAGTCAGGGACCGCGGGGCCAAATAGAGTATTGACCCTGAGGAGTCTTGAGTTTCATCATAAAGATGCCCCAACCCACACCCCTTGGAAGCTAAAAAGATGGTTTAGTGGGAACAAATAAGGATATTCAAAGAATCAATATACCAAAACACAAGAAATAATTGAGAAGTCAACAAATCAAAAAATGATGAAGCAGCAGAGCTAGAACTTAAAAAAATGATTGAGGCAATTAGAGTACGGAAAATTTTATGTACTATAAAATTAAATTTCATTTCGCTCCGGCTGGAACCCTTAAGAATGATTATATACAGGGTGATCCAGACCACCCGTTTACTATCTTCTTCTCGAAAACGGCGGAGAATTGAGCTTCGGGACAAATGCTTTCATGGGGTAAATCGACCCGAAAGAATCGAATGAAAATATTTTCAGCCCCTAAAATGGCCCCTCGGGAAGGTTTTTGGGGGGGGGAGATCCCCCCCCATTTCTCGCGAATTTCAAATAGGAAGGGTATGTTTTGACTTTGAATATGGAATTTACGGCAAAAAAAGAGAACATTTTGCACTTTGCACTTTTTCCCTTAACCCCCATTTTTTGGAGTTAAAGGGCATTTTCGGGAAAATTTTCAATTCGATGCTGTAAGCGGCCAAATTATCCAAATTTCAAAATCTAAAAATCTCCTGAGAGGAGAGATCAATACCTTTTTATTGATGTGCCATATGACCCCTGTTCCTCCAAAATTTTGGGGGCCACGACCCCCCCCCCAAAATTTTGGGACTTGGGAGAGCCGTAAGTCGAAAATTTTTAATGGCAAGGGTTTCTTTTGACCTCAGATTTGTATTCTACGCGAAAAGTTACGTAGAATTGATATGGCGCATGGCCTGTTTGCTCCAATTTTTTTTGCCCCTTATTTTCTCCAAAAATACACGGCTCCTTACGGGGAAATGGGGTTCTTCAGTAATTTGGAGCAAACAGGCCGTGCGCCATAGCAATTCTACGTAACTTTCCTCGTAGAATCCAAATCTGAGGTCAAAACATACCCTTGCCATTAGAAATTTTTGACTTGCGGCTCTCCAAAGCCCCAAAATTTTGGAGCAACAGGGATTATATGGCACATCAATAAAAAGGTATTGACCTCTCCTCTCAGGAGATTTTTAGATTTTAAAATTTGGATAATTTGGCCGCTTATACAGCATCGAATTGAAAATTGCCCCGAAAATGCCCCATAACTCCAAAAAATGGGGGTTTAGGGAAAAAGTGCAGAAAGTAAAATGTTCTTTTTTTTGCCGTAGATTCCAAATCGAAAGTCAAAACATACCCTTCCTATTTGAAAATCGCGAGAAACGGGGGACCCCCCCCCCCATTCTCCCCAAGGGACCATTTAGGGGGGCTGAAAATATTTTCATTCGATTCTTTGGGGTCAATATAAATTATGTTGATCGATTTGTGTCAATTGAAATAGTGTTAATCGAATCCATGTTTTATTTTTTGATTGGACTGTGTCGAGTAAAACAATGTCGATCAAAACGGGGTCACCGTTAAAAAGGATTCCTTTTCAGAAATTTTAGATTGTTACTTTCAAATGAAAAAGTGTTGATGTAAATAATTTCGATTGAATATATATCAATTGCAATCAAAGACAATCAAACCTACGTCCACATAAAATATTTCGATGGAAAGTATGTTGATGAAAAGTAGTCGATCAAAAAAGTGTCCATTGAATCAAAGTTGGACTGGATTGTGTTTCAATTTTTTTTTTTTTTTATCATTGGACTGTGTCAAGTAAAACGATGTCAATTGAAACCGTGCCGACGGTAAAACGAACTTTTTCCAGGATTTTATAATAAAATTTTCAAACAAAACAATGTGAATAGAATCAATGTCAATTTAACTGTATTTCCATTTTTCAATCGACCTGTGTCCATGGTTCTCGTGTCCACCTGATTATTGATGAAAATTTGGTTGGTCATTTAACTGAGGAGGTTACAAAAAACCAACCCATCAAGAAAAGAGAGCCATGGAAGATTTTCAGCTTAACAAGCAGAAATATTGCTCAGTTCAGATACATGACTGTCAAGATTATTTATAAACATACATATTAAAATTCATAGAATAACAGTCATCCTTGCGAGAAAATGGCACTAGTGCATTTAAAGAACATATTAAAGCTTTAACCTGATAAACACAGAAATATCAATTTCCAGTTTTATTATGTATTTTTCAAATAAGAGCAAACCAACAATGGCACATTCACTACAAAGCAGAGACTGCATATGATATGCTTCGATAGCTCATAAAGGCACGCATCACGTCAAGTGTCGGGAGGCCGGATCGATTCATCACGGACACTGGCTTCAAATCTGAATGGGATTCCCTGTTCTCTTGTTCTGCGATCACAACTCAGGTAAACGGATGCGATGGTCCAGCAATGCGATTTAAATCTTGACATTTGAGGGATCGATCCGGGCGTGATCATTAGATCCTGAGTTAAATACCATTCCCCGGCAATGATATGCAAATCCATGCGGTCGATAGCATTCTTCGCTGTTCGCTAATGAAATCCAGTCTTTTGAGTTAACTAGCCGGCCCCGCCAAGTTCGCTCAAAATATCCGATATTTGAATTTCCCGCGTAAATCAGACTACCGCCACCTCGCTGCACGGCGCTTCCATTCCTACTGCGTTATCTATTCTAATTATCATTACAATCCTACTCTTCTTCTTCTCCTTCTCCTTCTCCTCCTCCTCCTCCTCCTCCTCCTCCTCCTCCTCCTCC